TAAAGATGTTGGTTTTTAAGCTCTCAATGTGTATGCTACCATCTGAGTAAGCACAGAGGCTAGTTACATAGAAAGGAACTGTGGGTGGAATAGAATATAGTTTTGTGGAGAGACAAAGGGGAAACTAAAATAGCAAGATTATACAGTGACGGAGTGGAAGAGAAGGGTAAAGGAGGGAAGGACGACTAACACTAAAGGCCATTTGAAAAAGCCATATGGAAACCTATTACTGTAAAAGCTTCCTACAACATATAAATCTATGAAAAGAATCTAAATGGGGTCACCAAACAATGGGGGGGCAATATCCCAACTAGACATCTTATGTTACCATGTAAAACTGCCAGTGCCAGGAATGTACACACATGTATGCTTGCCATGTTTGTATAACCGAGAGCTCGCACACCCAGAAGCACTAAGTCTAGTTCACCTACTTCCAGAGTGAGGTCGTAGTTCTGGCCCAGGATGCTCTGGATGAGCTCCTTGATGGTCTGGTCTGCGGCCAGCTGGGCCTCGGACTGCAGAGAGGCGATGATCTCCTCTATGCTGGTGGGGATATAGCGAGTCACGGGCATGGACCAGTTGGCCTGGATCGTCGAACCCCCTTCACGCCCGCTTTTGGACCGGGGCCTTAACCACCGAGACGCGCCCATGCCCTCGCGCATGAAATGGGTGTGGATCCTCAGCCTGCGCAGCCGTCCGCTGTCGTCGACCTCGCTGCCCGGGCTAGACAAGGAGCTGGCCAGTCGGTACCGCGGGCGGGCCACTTCGAGCCCCGGGGCTTCGTGCTCGGGGCTCAGGACTATCTTGGGCCGGGACACCGGCTCCCTCCGGGGCTTGACATGCAGCTTCCGTTGACGCGAGCGTGGCCGCATCAGGATCGCGGGGCGGGCGGCGCCCACCTGCGGGCAGATGGGCGGGGCCTCTTTCTGGGGACGGTGGCGCAGGAACGCCGAGCTCCGCAGGTAGAATTCCCGCGGGCGGAAAGGCTGGGGCTTCACGGGGCGGCGCCGTGCACTCGGCGGCGCCCCCTGCAGGGCGGCGGCGGCGGGGCGCTCTGGGCTCTGCGCCCTAGACGATGATGCCAACTTGACAGCCCAGGACACTTGTCCCTTCGCCTGGGCGCTGAGCGGGCGAGCCTCCTCGTCCTCATCTTCGAGGTCATCCTCACTGCTTGCACCCAAAGCCTGCCTGGCAGACAACTGCTTGAATTCGAAATATTCCTTTTTGTACTCCTGGCGAATCTTCTCAAGCTCTTTGAACATGTACGATTCGTCTCGGGATGTCAGTCCGAAGTGCTTTGGGATGGTGGACATCTTGACGAACTTGACCTGTAAAACACCCCCCCCCAATATATATATATACATAAGTATATATTCAACAAAACTTAGGTTAATAAAATCCCAGTTCTGGAAAATGTCTCAAAATAGGACGTACTGTGTTCAAGTAATTTTATGTCTATCCAAGTCCCTCCAAAGACAACACAAAGAGACCTCTGGTCCTATTGATCTACATAAGGGAAGCTATGTATTTGGCATGAAGCAGATCAACATTACAGAAACCCCTGAGTTTAAAGTATATTACAAAAGAACTGTCAGTTGCATTTTGTTAATACATTTGAAAGCCTAGGTGGCAGCAGGGTATGGTGGCACATGCCTCTTTAATCCCAGCACTGTGTGTGTGTGTGTGTGTGTGTGTAGGCAGGAAGATCTCTGTGAGTTTGAGGCCAGCCTGGTCTACAGAGTGAGTTCCAGGACAGCCAGGGCTACACAAAAAAACCCCTCTTGAAAAACCAAAGCCAGCCAACCAATCAACCACACAAACAAACAAAAAACAAACCAACCAAATTTGAAAAAAAAAAAAAACAGGTGGAACGGATAATTTCCTTGAAAAATAAAAAAAAATAACTGAGGAAATTTGTAACTATAAAGACATGGAGTGTATAGTTTAAAAACAAGCTATGAGATGGCTATCCTGGACCCAGAAATGTATCAGAATGTTCTAAAAATGTTTAAGAATAAATAAGAATCATCTTTTTGTTGTTTGTTTGAAATAGTCTATTATATATTCTTGGTTACCTATGGCCTTTCACGGGAACCATGAAACCCCTCTAAACCAGCAGTTCTCAAAAAGTGGATCAAAACCCTTCGAGGACAGAAGACCCTTTCATGGGGGACACCTATGACCATCAGAAAGCACAGATATTTACATTACCATCACGGTTCATAACAATAGCAAAATTACAGTTCTGAAGTAGCAACGAAAATGGTTTGGGTGGGGAAGTCTCCACAACATGAGAAATTGTATGAAAAGTTGGCAGCATTAGGAAGGTTGAGAACCACTGTTCTAAACTAGCAAAATTTGTGGTGATAATTCCCTTGACCCTTAGGACCTATTTTAACATTTGTTGTATGTTTGTTTGTTTGTTTGTTTGTTTGTTTGTTTGTCTGTCTGTTTTCTAGACAGGGTTTCTGTGTGTTACGGCTCTGGCTGGGACTCCCATTGCAGACCAGGCTGGCCTCAGACTCACCAAGACCCACCTGCCTCTGCCTCTCTCTCTAGTGCTGGGATTAAAGATTTATGCCACCACTGCCCAACTTAACATTTCTTTAGACTGTAATGTTCTGTCTCACTTCCAACCAAGCAAGACTCCCATACATGTAGGTGCAGAAAGCCTAAGGTAACAAGAATAATAGAGAATAGGGGTCTCCAGCTGTACTCCCCTCACCATGGCTTGGACTGGGCCAGCAAACATATTTTTCAATTATTTGGAAGTTTCTCAAAAAGGTAAAATTACATTGGACAAGTTTAATTGGGACATTTTCACATAAAACTTTCTCTTAGGAGAAAATTTGAGGGCTCTGGTAACAGAAAGGCCAAATCTCTGCTCTGGGCTTCATAGCTGTTGCCTCTTCCTTCTCCAGATGGTCCCAGGTATCTCCCTTGTCCAGCCAAATCCGCTTGGTGTGTCACTTCTGCTGTGGCACAGTGAAGGAAGAAAAAGAAGTGGTCAGCCTCAAGGCAGAGGCACAGGTAACTCACAAAGCCTTGAACACTAGACATTTGTATTTAGCTGTGAGCTACTGGGAACCACTTGAACTTTTTAACAGAAAAGTAGCTTGATAAAGTTAGTACTTGGGGATGGTAATATTATACAGAGGGAAAGGGGGACCAAGAAGCTTGATGGCCTGGAACTGGTAAGTGAGCAGAAAGAAAACAGACACAACCTGGTAAAGATGATAGTACCTGGTCAACAAGTAAGAAAAAAAAATTGGGATCTGGGTGGTGCAAGCCCAAAACCTAGCACTCTGGAGATAGAAGCAGAGACAAGTGTGAGACCAAGACTAACAATATTCTGCCTAGAAAATTATATATATATGTGTGTGTGTATGTGTGTATACATATTTATAATTTTACTTATATATAATAGTTTTAAATATCAAAAATAATTGGGAGCAACTAAAAGTACATCCAAAAAAAAAAAAAAGATGCTTTGATAGTTTAAGGAGGTAACTCAAAGGGAAGTTACTTGCCAAACATTAACAAGACCCTGGGTTTCATTCTAGCTGAAAAACTGTAAATGAGAACCTTGTATCACTTCACTGAAGTCTAAGCCATAACCAAATGCATAATAAAATTTGTTATTCACCCAAATGTACATTTTGAGGTGGTTTAGAAGGGAAATTTCATGTCGATTATTTATTATTATCTTTAAATGCCAATTTCCAATCCTCAGTGGGGCCTCATAAGATATCTGTGTGAAAGTGCTGAGATCATTACTGAAAGCCAGGAGGAACTACAGAGAGGAACCCATGAGAGATTCTTCAGGATACTTATTGCAAATGGTGAAAGGCATAAGAACAAGGGAACCAAGAAAATGAAGCGAATGGGACTCCCTAGAAGATTGGCGTGAGGCACAGAACTAAAACGATGAAAGTAAAATATAAAATCATCAGTCAGAGGAGTGAGGGCAAGCCAATCCCAGCATTCAGGAGCCAGAGGCAGGGCTATCCAGAGATGGAGTGCTACTGAGCCAATATAGAGACTTTGTTTACAAACAAACCAACTTAAAAAAAAAATCCAGCCATTTCCAAAAGAAAATCCAAAGCCAAGTTTCTTTGAAGAGCAGTTAAATAATGAAGCAGAAACAACTTCACAATGCCATTGGTTTTTGTAGGTCTGATTATTCAACTAGAGATTATAGACACTAGAGAACTATTTAAGATACAAATGTTTCCCAAGGTCCTTGAATCTAAAATCACATAGATAATATGGAAACCAATGGCAACCTTTATACCAAATGCTCTAATTTAAAATATAATGGCAAGTCTTCATAATTGCCAAAAGAGTAAGTATCTAGATAAATGCATGATAAAAATGTACTAACACTACATGGATAAATTTTAACTTAATTGAAGGTAATAAAAGATTGAATAGACAACTAATGTTCATTGGTGATAAGCCAAATATCTAATTGTAGCAGATAGTCTCAAGATACTGTATTGATTTCATGCTACACAAAAAATCTAACATTGATATTTAAAATTTTTTGAAATTGTTTGAAATGATAAATAGGATTACCAAACACTATGAAAAGATAAATGGAGGGTATTCACACCTGCCCCTCTGTGAAGGAGTGACCCGATAAATTAAGACTTGCAAGATAAAGCCTAGAACTGAAACACTGCTGTTAGAACCAGTAGAGATGGAGGAAAAAATGAGATACATGAAGTATATTATAAAGGCAGATTCTGATTGGTGATAGAAGGAAAAATTGTCTAATAAATCATGCTGAGACCATTGGTTTGGTACTTAGAAAAAAATTAGGCCTTGATTTGTGCCAAAAATAAGTCATGGTCTATTTAAAATATGTAAAATTAAATATTTAAAGATTTATTTGCTTACCACTTATCCATATTCCTTGATTATACTCATATCAATATACAAAAAGTTGTCTTCCTAGTAGAAGTCATTTACTTCTGGGGTAATAGGAAAAAATTACCCCATTTTGATGGGGGAGGTCCTTCTATGTATATGTTTATCTTATTGGTTGATAAATAACATACTGTTGGCCAATAAGAAAGCAAGATAGGTGGAACTAGGAGTCAAGGAGGATTCTGGAAAATGTAGTAAAGAGATCCAAGCAGGAAGTGACATAGCAGGCAGATTCAGAATATAAGCAGAGACAAGAAGGAAATCGTCCTCTTGCTCTTCCTCTTCCTCCTGCTCTCTGCTCTAGAGCCACCAATGTGATCCCGGCAAAACAGGACGCATTCCGCCAGCATCCTCCATAAGATAAGTCTTATGATTATGGTTGATAATTAAGACTGAGCTAGCAGATAAGAAATCCTAGTCATTGGCCAGCAGCATTGTAAATAATATAAGACTCTGTGTGTTATTTTTGGGTGGCCACGTGGCATCGGGGCTTGGGCAGCTGGCAGAATCTTGTAATTGTAATTATCGTTACACCATTTACCCATTTCTGAAACATGCCATGCTGACCCTAAACTGAAGGCCTTTGCAACATGACAGAACTGTCCTCTGGGAATAATAAGTTTTCTTTCTGTACCCAGCTCCACCGATGGTGAGTTCTGGGATGACTAGTCCTGGAATGGCTCAATTCTATATATACCAGAGGCTCTTAATACAAAGCAAAAACTAAAAGGCGTGACAGGGCACACCTTTAATCTCAGTCCCTAGGAGGCAGAGGCAGGTGGATCTCTGTTGAATTTGAGGCCACCCTGCTCTACACAATGAGACCCTGTCTCAAAAATCAAAATGGGGGAGATAGATAAGGAATAAAATCTACTGCCTATTGTCCAACCCATAAAATATGAATATTAGAAATGAGTTCTAAACTTTGAGGAAGTTTCTTCATTTAAAAACCCCTCATAGTACTTCCATCCTTGTTGTTTGAACAAGTGACGTCATGTTCACAGGGTGACCATCTGCAAGTAACAGAAAAGTCATTAAGTGGAACAAGACACAGACTAGAAGTACTGCCTGCAATACTTGATGCAAGCCTAGCTTTGCTCTCCTGCTTCAACTTCCCTCTTCTTCATTCCTGTTCTGAGTGCCCTGCCCAATTTCTGGGCCCTTAGTTTGTTCCTGAAGTTTAAACAAATAGCCATTGTTCAACACTTCTACATACATTCCCCCTTGAAATCTGAATAGAAAAGTTGTTTATTGTGCCCCCCAAAAAAATAAACTAACAGGAAATAGAGCTTAAAATTAGATAGATGGGAGCTTCCATCTGGCACTCAAGCTGGGTGGTATCTGAAGGCTTATGGGCAGCTTATGGAGTTGGCTGCCTGTGTCTACCTAC